CGAATATATATATATATATGTGTGTGTGTGTCTTAACCTGACTCATTGGTTTTACGGCCTTTGGTGTAAGTTCCTTTGGTCGGGAGTTTGATTCCTGCATAGGATCAAATTGCACATCTTTTTGGAAGGGGGGTCCGCTATATATATATATAATCTCCGTAAAATAAATAAAAGAAAATTTACTTACATATCACTCAATCCCTATGTATTCACATAATAAAGCCTAAAAAAATTTAATTCTTTTACTTACATGCCCCGTTATTTATGTATAAAAATATATATTTTTCTATTTAAATTTAAAAGGGCAGCATTTTTGTTGTGATATGAAAGGTCTAAATGATATAAATGCAAAAAAAACAAATTAGGTGTTAGATGTGCAAAATTAATAATCGGATACATGGTATGTATGTAAATGCTCCTTAAATTTAAATAATAGATTAATAAATGCATGATTTTTACATATTACCTCATGGGAAAAAAAGATGAATATAAAAGAGCTAATTTTTTAAAAAAAACATAAAGAATATCACGCTATAACTTTTTATTGAATGGGTGACGCTTGCAAAGTTGGTCAAAAATTATAATATCTAAATTCAATAGGTTTAGTTGGGCTATTTCGTTTTCACCGGTTTTTTTAACCTCAACCATTTAGTCTAATGTTTAATTATTTCAACAGGGTATTATGCATTTTATTTTATATTTGCTCACGCTATTTATTTATTTATTTATTGACTGGCCTGGGCAAATGTAATTATTTTTTATTTATTTAGTTATTGGTTAAAAATGGACTCGTGCAGGTGTGTTAGCCGTTGGAGACCGCACTCCGATCGCGAATCGCGATCTCCCGCGCCCGCTTCCGCCTTCATGTACCCAATCACGACGATTTGCGATCCTCGTTGGCGATCCCGCTCCGCGATCTCGCCCGCGCGAAGCTTTGCGTCTCTTCGCCAGCAACTGCTTCCGCCTCCCTTCCATTATGCAAACGTCTCCCACTCCACGTCAAGTTCGATTCACATATATTCTCGAAACTGAAGCCTCAACCACCTCTTGTTTTGCGAAACATGAACTCTCTTTCTCCGCTCCCTCTGCGCGAGTTTCTGCTAACGTTGAAGGAATGATTTCGTTCTTGCTTTGATGACAGGAAGGAAGGATTTGCGTTGATGACAGGAAGGAAGGATTTCTTGCTTGTGTTGAAGACAGGAAGAAGGAAATCTTTCTTACGGTGAAGTCAGAAAGGAGTTCTTTCTTGCGGTGAAGTCAGAAAGGAGATTTCTCCTTTGATTCTTCTTGAGACTTACGAGAAGCAGAAGAAGAAAGAAGAAGATAGTGAAGAAGAAGGTGTTTTTCTTGGTGACTTGTGGCAGAAGAGAAACAGACTTTCTCTTGTATATTTTCTTCTTCTTCGGTGTTCTTGCTCTTGAGTGAATCTTGGTGTAAAAAGGAAGAGCAACTGAAAAATCCTGTAATTGGCGTTGTGATTAAATTAGTGTACATTTCTTCAATTAGTAAAATCCTCTATAACTCCGTGGATGTAGGCAATTTGTCTAACCACGTAAATCTGTGTGTTCTTTTCTGATGTGAATTTTTCTCGTGCTATTTTTCACTTCGTGATCGATCGTTTTAAATTTCATAGATACCACAACAAAATGAAACTATATAAGGGTCCACCCTATATCTCAAGATCGGCTATTTCTCATGCAAATAATATTTCTTAGTCCTCATGGATCTGAAATTGTCAATAATTAGTATTTTTTTATTTATGTACAATTTAAGCAGTATCAGCCTCTCAGGTCGAGCTAATCAAACTCTGAGTGTAGAACAGTTTTCTACGTTCAAGAGCGCAAATGAATCTTCAGTGGTCCTGACTCAACTCTGTATATGTTAGAAATTTATGCTTCAAACTTGAGTCTCATTATAATAGAAAAGACTCCTCCACATTATTTGAATGAAGTAAGATTTATTGATAACTACTAAGAAGCAACAAATTAGACTTTGCTATATGAGGCTTTAATTTCTACTGGAGATAAAAAATTGCTAAGTGCCCATCTTTTTCGTTTATAAAACACTTGAACAGATTATTGTTGGAAGCTTTCATTGGGAATGCAGCTTGAAATAATTTTAGTGGGAGCACAAACTAATGACTGTTATGTGGAATTGGAAGAGTTAGGGGTGTTAAAGCTTTAGATATATTTACTTTTAGTTGCTAGGTGATGTGGGGGAAGATGAGGGGCTTTCTATGATGGAAGTTGGAAGTTAGTTCGTAGTGAATGAGGGTTGAAAGTTCGGAATTAAAATTTTGATCAACTCGAAAAACAAAATAGAAGAAGAAAACTTTCTTATAGCAAATATCATTCAAAATAATAAAATTTTCAAATGCTTCACTTTTTTGAAATTGAATTCTAGTTTGCTTGTGGACTTGTAAAACTATTCAAATAGCCCAATTTTTTGTCAGAGAATCCATGGCACATAATAATTGAAATTCCTAATTGAATAAATCAAGAATAAGAGGAACGAGAGAATGAATGTGAACTTGCAGTCTAAACCCATAGGAACATCAACGAAAACAATGATGACAAGATTGGCATTGGCTATAAGCTTTGACAAATTGGGTAAAACGTAAAAAAAAACAAACCCAATAGTAAAGGGAGAAGGGGCATCAGAGTTGAGGGTTTGGGTTTGGTTGGCAGGGGGAGTACAAGTTAGGGCAACAGGTGTCCGGGAAGAGATGGTCAGGTGTAAGAGTTGAACTCGAAGGCGAATAAAATTGTAAACTGAAGAAATGAAACTTTAAATTATAAATCAGAGAGAATAAAACTCAAACGCACTATTGGTAGATGCATGGGAATTACAAATTTGAGAGAGAGAAAATCAAACATATTTGTTTGGAGTGGGCAAATGCCTCCAACTTGCAAACTGATGCATATGTTAGACAACTGCACAAGTGGAAATTTCTCTATTTAAAGAAAGAAAGAAAGTTCTGATGAAGGGAGAAGGTTCAAATTCGTTGTTGTCGAGAAAAAATGGAAAACCTAAAATTGGCTTAAGAATGCCACTTTATTAATCTCTCATGCAACAATAAAGTGGATGATCATTTACCCAATTTTAGTGGATTTTTCTATGCACAATCATTATCATTAATCTTAATTAATGATTAAATTGTTTTAATGCAGGTTGAATTCTCTTTAGACCATCCAAACAAATAGAATTTTATCAAATTTTTTGCCTTTCCTACATTGCTTTATTTATGGGTTGAGTTACTACTTTAGTATTAACATACCTCTAAGTATTGAGTTGGATATGAGAGGGATCTTCAAACGAGCGGGAGAAATGAAGATAATGAGTTAATGAAAATATTTTTCTAGTTGTTGGCTGCAGAGTCTTTAATATATACAATAGAAATTTATTTTTAATTGGGCTTATGAACTTTTAGTATATCATAACATTTTTTTTTAATTTTTTATGCTTTTTTTTCCCCAAAACATTTTTTGTTATGTTTATTTTTTTTGTTTTTTGCTCAAATTATTTTTCACACATCAACAAAATTTTGGACATATATAATATCTATCGACGCTATTTTGAGCATAATATATGTCGAATGACTTAATCTACTCTTATTCACTTGGGCCTTGTGGTGGTAGTTTACTGATCTACTTTGTGATAATAATAAATATAATTCTAAAATTATTGTCACGATTATAGATAATTTGCATCATTAAGAAGCAAAGATAATTGTGTTGAATAATTTGATATCCAATAACAAAACTATAATATTCAAATTTACAATAAATTATATTTTTTTGATTTTTTTGATTCATTTAGAATAGAGCACTTGAATTTCTTATAACTCATGCACACACCAGTATCATTTAGGGTTTGAACTCAGGATGTTATAAACGAGGATATATTATATAATTACTGGACTAAGTGAGTAGCATAAGTACATAAAATTTTTAATCGATGAAATTGAGACATAAGCACAACATTTACCGTCCATAAATTTGCTTAGGCCCATCATAAGACCTTTTAATGTTCTAATTTTAAGTTTACATAGCATTCTCCTTATAAGTTTGATTATGTAATTTATATGGAGAATTCCTTATAAAGAAAAAGACATTTTGAATTTGAACGAGTTTACATACTTTTATTCAACTTCTCTTATGGCGTTTAAAAATTCAGAAATTTATTATCTCAGAGGAGAAAATATTCTGTTTAGACACCGCAAGTCCGGATGACCTATCACCGGTGGCAACATCGTCTTACATGTTAGCGGCGGACGACTTGGCCTCCGGTGGTTGGCCGTCCTGACGGAATATGTTTTCCTCATTTTAACTCTGAATAATCATTGAAAACTAAATAAAAAATTAAAAAAAAAATCATAAATTCCCAACATTCAATATTAAAAAAATATTACAAAACATCCAAAATCACAATTGAAAGCAGAAGTCTCCTTCATGTCCAAATTCATGAGAGCTACATAGCAACACAAAACTAACAATCTCACCAAGAAGCCCATTAAACAAAACGCACTGCCTCTATCCTAGCCCATCACCGCAAGTCCAAGCCCAATAAGCCCAACAAGAACCCCCAAATCGCCTCCCCGGAATCCGCCGACACCGGCAGCGTTTTTCCCGCCGGAAGCTCCCGGCGGCGACGGAGAGCCAGTGGTGGAACACCACCGCCAGCGTTTCCCCCGCCGGAGGCTCCCGGCGGCGACGGAGAGCCAGTGGTGGAAGGGGGCGAGTTCGAAGAACCGCCGGAAGTCGGCGAAGTACCGGAACCCGAACCGCCGGTCGAAGGGCTGCCGGGACTAGAGGCGGCGACGGTGGTGACGGCGAGCTTCATACCGCCGTCGCAGTGACCGGGAGTGCCGCAGATGAAGTAACGGGTGCCGGCTTCGGTGAGTTTGATTGTAGTACTGCCGTCGGAGTGAGACTGGATGGCGTTACCGCTGGTGCAGGAGTCGTAATCGGATTTGCTCACCTCGTCGGCGCTATGGAGCCCACCGTATTTGAACACTGTTTCATCCGGTAAAAGTGGAAATTAGTGTAATATCTAATTTTTTGCATAAAAAAAAATTGTTATTATTGCTGTACTATATAACTATGACTTTGTACGTATAATTTAATGCTAGCGATAGATTTGATGCAAGCCGATTGAATGTTATAATTAATACTATATACGTAAATATAGAGATCTATTAAATGTTTCTATATATATATTGTACCTATAACATAATGCTAGAGATATATTTGATGCAATCCGATTGAATGCTATCAATAATATTACATACGTGGAGGTGGAATCTTTTGGTTTTCTTTATTTGAGCGAGCTGTACTTTTTTTGGTAGGATATAGATCTCATTTGTAACTTCTACGATTTATGAAATATTTAGATATATAAATATAAAATTTTGTGATATATATGAATGAAAATTACATTTAATTATATGGTTTTAGCATGAATTTGATTCTGTTAGGGACTGTTTGGGGCAGTTTCAAAAGAAATTATTTTTTATAATGTTATGGTCTCTATTACATATTTATTTTATTTTTAAAAAGTTACACTGTAGCTTTCTGACATCCACGACACTTTAATAGATTAAACTGAAAAAAAAAAGTCAATCACATAAATTTTAAAAAAACAACAAGAAAGTAGTTCCACAAACATAATTATAATGACGGTCTAAAAAACAAAACAGACAAAAAAAAAGTACCAAATAGACCCAAAGGGTGTTGAAAGTGGGAGCAACACCACTTTTTTTTGTGTTAGATAGAACTGTCTTTTGCCTATTTTTCAAAAAATTATAGTGGAAAACCGTGTTTTGCGAACCGAACTAGTTAAGTGCAGTGACTGCTAGAAAGTTACCGCTGACTTAAAAAAAAATGTAATATTGACTATAATTTTTTAAATAATAGATTTTCTTCAACGACTTCACACTTAATTCTTCAACCCTTAATTTATATGGCACATAGCACAAATTAGACCGTCTAATATTTAAATGAATTAGCTTCAGCTGGTCCCCTCCATTTCAAGCTTTCAACTCCTCCAGATTAGTTTTCAATAATAGAGTCACATGCACTAATTCAGTTAATAATTGCCAGCTTTTGATGGTCTCCAGCGCAATATTGAATTATTTAATTTTAAGATATTTCATATATACGAATAATATTTTTTTAAAATAAGTATTTAATCATCCATCATTTATTTAATTGCTCATTAACACGCATCTAAATATCCACATGTTGAAGTCTTAATGAACACTCTAAAGTCGTGATGAACTCGGAATGAATTCCCGAAAGCCTAATGCTATTAATCTATCCAATCAAGAGTTTAAATAATTTTTGGAGAATTTGGATCGTCCATTGAATTGTCCAATGAACTTTGAGTTTATATATTTGTTTTCAAATTAAGTGTTTTAACGAGAGGAGTCGGACGAGTCTATGATTAAGGGTGATCAACATGAGTTGTTTGATTAAGAGGCTGAATAAGCTATTCGTCAAAGGACCAAAAAGCTCATTATCATTGAAACTATAAAAAGACCCCATCTCGACAATCCTCACTTGCTAACGTCGTATTTCATAAACGGTTACAACATATAACATTATATTGAATGCAGAGTGATAAATTTTGGCTTTTGTAGCCACAGAACTCTGCCCATCGGTAATTGTCAACCAACGCCGATTGTCCACACTAGCGGCCGACGTCAATGACATCTTTTTGCCAATCTTGTATCCTAAATATAATCTCAATGTATAATGTTGTATTGAAGACCTAAATATAATTTCCAATTTTCATAACAATCAACATACTTCGCCCCTTAATTTCGGTCACTGGCGAGCGACGACCGCGGCTTACGACCTTCGTAGGCAAAATTAGGTGGTTGTTCCCAACTCCTTTGATCTTGTGTACGTTGTAAACCAAGAATAGTTGTATGTGATGACCTTGCTCCCCAACCGTGAGAAAAATGATACGCCTTTATACTTACACATTTATAGTAAATTACTTTGATTATGCTAGACCCCGTGACTCGGTTCATCTCTGGCTTTTACCACATAAAAAATCTTACTGTTTTCTTCTATTGCCTTTTATATGATGGGTCTTTTTGTGGCACTAAAATATTAAATACTAACCCTATTATTGTGAATTTTCCGACACACAATAATAGAATTTCCGCCCTAGCGATGATTAATAGTAAGCTTTTAATGTGATTCGCATATAACTTTGAATTTAATAATTGCATACATGCGCTTGAGTAAAGATGTGAATTGATTAGTTGATATTATTATTATTATTATTATTATCAAAATAATGTTACGAATTTCCCCTCTTTAAATAAATCCTTGCATATATTTTTTAATTTAGAAATTTAAATTTAAATATTTGTTTAAATGCTAATTTTTTATCCAAACTAAAATAAATTAATGATTTTTTTTTTTCAAATAAAATAAATAAATAATAATTCCATCCATGTCATATAATTCTTGTTGTTCAGGTGATTGGGAAAAATAATCAATGACATTAATAGCTTTGATATGGTGTTAATAGCTTTGATTATATAAACAGAAGTTTTGGCAATGACATTAATAGCCTTGATATGGTGTTAATAGTCTTGATTCTATAAACAGAAGTTTTGACAATGACATTAATAGCCTTGATTCTGATGACATTAATAACCTTGATATGGTGCTAAAAATCTGCCTATTTATATCCAAATCGTCTGCCAATAGACCACAAAGCTACAAAAGTTTATAATCAACTAAAATATTTAATTAACAATAAAAATAAAATATATTAAATCATATTTAAATGATATTTTAATATAAATATAAGATTTAAATCTCACCCTAAAAATATCAAAACAATCGTAGTCAAATTAAATTTAAATTTCTAAATTAAAAAATTATATGCAAGAATTTATTTAAACAGGGGAAAATTAGTAACAAGATTTTGATGATAATAATGTTGCATTAATGAATTTTTTTAATTTAGAAATTTAAATTTAAATATTTGTTTAAATGATACTTTTTTATACAAACTAAAATACATTATTGAATTTTTTTCTTCAAATAAAATAAATAAATAATAATTCCATCCATATCATATAATTCTTGTTGATAAGGCGATTGAGTAAAGGAATCAATAACATTAATAGTCCTGAAATAGTGTTAATAGCCTTGATTTTATAAGCAAAAGTTTTGGCAATGATATTAATAGACTTAATAGGGTGTTAATAGTCTTGATTCTAATGACATTAATAACCTTGATGTGATGCTAAAAATCTGTCTATTTATATCCAAATCTTCTGCCAATAAACTACAAAGCTATAAATATTTATAATCCACTAAAATTATTAATTAACAATAAAAATAAAATATATTAAATTATATTTAAATGATATTTTAATATAAATAATAAGATTCAAATCTCACCCTAAAGCTGTCAAAACAATTCTATGTTATGGGAAAATGAAAAAAATGCAAATGGAAGCAGGGGTAAATGAGGAAATACCTAATTTATCTCCGACCTTGAAGGTCTTGTCGGAAACCCAGGTGGTGTAATCCACACCAGTTGTCCATCCCTGAGAGTCGCCGACGTTATAATCATCTGCTGAAGCCGGCTGCAACGCCGCCCCCGCCGCCATGAAAATAACCAACAGAGCTCTCATTAAACCAACCATGGCTTCCTTCACAGATTCTCTCACTTGTGGGTGAGTTGGGGAAGAAGATGCAATGGAGTGCTTTATAGGCAAAAGATAAGAGTACGGTATAATTACATACAAACCCCCCTGCAATATTGATATTTACAAATTAAACACTCGGTGATTTTTCAGGGGTTTTAGTATGAATTTTTATGTTTGGGTGAGAAATAGAGAAATGGATGAAAGAGGTGGTATATCTGTAAAGAGAAAGTTTCGGGTGGTATGTATGTAATTAGCTGTTTATATTTATCATTTGTGCAACAGGCTGCCCATGTTGGCTCTACCTACTGCTTAATGCTCTGCCTACCTAACGCATTTCGGATGTGAAATTACAAAAAATTAGTTTATATCCACGGCCAATCCGAAGCCTGTTTGGTTGAGTTTGTGGCTGACTTCATTAATTAATTAATTATAAAAAAAGTTAATTAAGTTGAGCTCAAGCTGTTATTAGCTTGAATTTATGTTTAATTAATTCATTGAGTTTAAGTAGCAGATGGATTTTTTCTTCTTTTTTTTTTTGGTGAAAATAAAAGATTTTGATGGATAATATATTGATTGAAAATAAATTTGAAGACTATTTACAAATTGAGCCCCCAACATTCATCATTTCTCAAAAAAAAAAAAAAAAATCAATTCGGAATGTTGTTATGAAATAATCTATTTTGGGAGAATTATATTTTTAAAATTTTTTAAATATTATTTAGGATGTATTTAAGGCAGCTGTAGTTATTGAAAAAATTTTACATCAATAATCCTCTTGCAAAACTGTATCAGAACTCCAATCATAATTTGTCAGATGTACGGTTCAAGCTCGTTGATTATAAGAATCTAAATAGTTTAATATCATAATTTGTCAAGTGTACGGTTCAACCTCATTGAATATAAAAATCTAAATAGCTTAATACATGACAGGACCGGACCGTACACGTGACGTAGTGTGATTAGAATTCTGATACTCTTTTGCATCAAAACTTTTAATATACTATTTTTTTTTCGTAATTATGAATAAGCACTATAAATGTTTATAGTAAATAAATAGGGAGGTTGGACAATCACAAATCACTGAATTATAAATGTTTAAATGTGTCTATATTAATATTATTCAAATAAGCAGCAGCAAATCGTGTTCCCCTTGACCGAAGATAGAAAAGCTGTGTCCCGTTTCTATGAGAAGAGTGCGCGTGGCGAAAATTTATTGGCCTGGCTTTAGCGAGTGGGGCCCGGTGGGCCCTGTGCATAGTGAATGCCCATTAATGCTTGCCTTTAGAAGATGGCGGCCCAGGCCATTAAATGACCTGTAATTTATTGAATAATCTGTTCATAAGTTTATTAAAAATAAATCTGTTGATAAGTTGTGTGTGGCTCAAATCATTGTTAATAAGCTCGCACCGTATCTAGATAGATGCAGTGTTAAAATGTTGTTCTCTACGTTTTGAAAACGCATAAGCTGCCAAAATACAGTTCACCCAAACAGGTCAGGTGCCTTTTCGAAACGCCATCGCATTAAATAAGCTGCCCAAAACAGATCCTTAATAGAAAATAAGTGAAAATAATTTTAAGAAAATAATTAAACAGAAATAAAATTACTTTTCATATATTTTTTGGTGCTCTCTTAGAAATAAAGGTGAAGAATAATAATAATTAATTAAGTCGAGCAATGCCGGCAAATATAAATTTTGCAAAGAATTGAAATTTTTTTTCGTAGGAAAAAAGAAAAGCGGTTAGAACTCTATTTAAAAATTAGGGCTATTGACATACAAACCACCCAATTCCTAAATATTTACACATTTACCATTAAAATTTTATTTTTTTACATTTATACCATTCAAAATTTTTATTTCATCAAATGGCATACCTGTAAAAATTGAAGCTTAGATGCTAGATTTTGTAAATACATTAGAATTGAGGGACATGTATGTAAATTTTCCTTTTAAAATATGCAAAATTTTCTTCCTAAATAAGTATTAAATAATGGAACATGACAAGGCTCATCATTCAGGGAAAAACTGCTTTGATACGGCCCTGGAAAACTCAATCTTTATTTAATTATTTAATTATTTCAATAATGCAAGCAACAGCCATTGATCAAACAATTAACAGAAGTCCCAAGTAAACTACCTATTCTGCAAATCTGTATAAGGAAATTATTGAGGAAAAAAAAAAAGGATTTTATCAATAAGAATTGGTGTACCTAAGCCCAACTGCAACTTTCAGAGTCATTGCATATTTATTTTCATTAAAATTTTATTGGATTTAATATTTTGAAATATTCAAAGTTAATTTTTTTATTTGGCAGTAGAAAAAAAATACAAACTCTGTTAAATTTATTCATTGCTACAGTTATTCAGGCATTAATAGTGACTAACATTTCATAATTTCTCCTAATTTAAATTGTTTTTAACGCAATATATATATATATATATATATATATATAGAATGGTCTGAGGCTATTATTCGAGCCCCTAGCCACCCTCACTACCGGGTGGCCAGAGGGGGATTCAAATCTTTGACTTGAGGGAACTTGCAACCTTCAAAAAAACAGCTCTACCAACATACCACAATTGGAAAAGTGCATTTAAGTGTAGTTGATTTAACAATTTATATGATACTAAAAGAATAATAATCAATAGAATTGGGAGGTATATATATTAATTCCATTTTTTTCTCTATAAGAAACCAAATCATCTATTAGAGTGAAGCTCGAAGCAGAGACATGAGAATCTTTTTTGATGGTCAATATGCTGAATAAGTCCGCCATTCCTCCTCCATAATGTTGAAAATCTCAACAATTCCTTCAACAATTCCTTTTACAAAACCATTTACAAAACCAAAAAAAAAAAAAGTAAAAATTTGCGTAAATGGTGGGCTTGCAATGCCTTCAGAAACTAGGAAGGTGCATGATGTGCTAGAAGGTGAAAGTTTTACTTCTCTTTCACTTTATTTACAATTTGTTTGTTTTGTTTATTAAAAAATAAAATAAATTTATAGATGTTTATGTATAATGTTTGAAAAAAATCACTTACAGGTTCCAACTGTTCATTCAGAATACAAAATAATGTTTGTTTAGGTGCGAGAGATATCAATATATATATATATATATTAAGAAAATAATGTGGATAAATAATAAATCGTTTATATTTTTTAATCTACCTCAATTTTACAAAAGCTTTCTTTTATAAATATATAAATTTATTCAAGCAAAATTTACATTTATACCACTCAAAATACATATCTAACACCTAAACTTCGGCTTTTCTATGCATGAAAATTGTGTACTTTACTCTTTAGAAGTTAGAAAACTCACATTTTGATGTGATATGAACAATATTCGTGGTATACATGTTAAAAATAATGTTAAATATATAAATACATAGGAATTCAGTGGTATATATGCAAATTCCCCCTTTTAATAATGCACGATTGTAGCTTAGTGCTGGACACGATGAATTTGGAATCACAAAACATGACCGGTTACTAAAAATCTGCACAACTAAACAGGCATTTTAGATCAATATCAAATAATAAACCTTTTTTTTTTTGTCTTTAATCGTTGAGAAAACGTTAATAAAAGCATTGTAGCCTTCAGTGATTAGTACTTTTACATTGACGGACGAAAGTGTAATGGAATAGACGTGTTAACTGCAGCACAGCTCAACCAGAACTCTGCGACTTATTCCACAACTATTTGCTTACTTTACAAGGAAACGTGAAATTTTGATTCACAGGGGAGCCAACTTTGATGACTAATATGATAGGGTTTATAGCGACTTCAAATCTGTCGTCAGAAAATCTTTCGCATATCATATACTATTTTGGAACAAAAAAAAAATGGAAGCTCCGCCGGACATCACAAATGTGGGGAGTTCCATCATTCCATGCGAAAAATTTTATGTATTTTCCTTTTACATAGATAATATATACAACCTAACTAAACATGGTTACAGGCTTACAGCTCATAACTTAAATTTTTAATTTTAAAAAATCATGTTGAAGCAATAGACTTAATGCTTGACTTCCAATATCCATGAGATGCAATCCTTGAGCAGCTGGAGTTTCTGGCGGCTCGCGATGCTCATGATCACTTTCATTTTGCTTAGGAATTCAGACGAATCTTCCACGCACCTGAACGAGCCACCGCACGAACATTGCTCGGCTAAATGCACGGCCTTAATTTGCCTGCATTTCAGGCAGACCAGATCCTGCAAATGGTAAAGTCTTTCTCTCTGCCGAACAATCTGAAGGAGGGAATTTTCCATTTGTTCGAGATCGTACGGTCGACCGCAGTGTGGTGCGGCACAATGCCAATCTCGTTCTAGGAGAGTCGGATCACGGCACAAGTCAAGGTCCCTACAGTCATTACAATAGCTGCCAAAACAGGTTTAACGATCTCAGTGAAAACAAGAATACAACCTGAAGTGAAATTTCATATCATGTCCCTGTAGTAAAAATAGAGGAAGATTTACAAGACATACCACTCAATTCTTATGTATTTACATATCTAAAACTTAAATTTTAATTTTCACATACACTGCACACCTAATCTATGGATGAAAAGTGTATGCCACCTTTTAAACGTTAAAAAAGGTGGTATTTTTTATATTTTATCAAAGATTTGGGTGGTATAAATTTATAAATCAAAGTTTAGGTGCTAGATATGTAAATGCAATTAAATGCCCCAAAAGTAAGTGGTATGTAATTAAATGCCCCAAAAGTATATTTCCAGAGACTGCTATACTGACTACTGAGGACTTCCAATAATATTAGCCTACATCAAGGGAAGAAGACATTTAAATTTTAAAGAGAAGCACACCTGCAAATTACATTTGGCAGAGTGAAAGATAGGCATGGGTCATGGAACTGTGCTTCTGGGGCAAACTCTTTCACACGAACTAATTTCAAAAGGTTCTTCCTCAATCTCTGCAAAAATACCCATAAATTTTAGAGATCAATAAAAGAAAACCAGTGCTTGAAACCATAAGGGGAATCATACCAAGATATCATG